ACACTCAAAGAAGGCAGTTTGGTGCTAAACTAGAGGACACTCACTTGTCTTTCTTTTCTAGATAATGCACTTAGAAGGGGGTTACATGTCAGTATTTTTCCTCTTCCATCCTTGTGGCATAAGTGATAAAGGAGGCAGACTTCGCTGTCCTGGGGGAAGATCTCTTTATCTCTTTTTTTCTTGTGGATGCTATTTATCATCTTCAGTCATGTGCATTTCGAGAAGTCAAGGCATGGCCTGGACAACCTCTGTTCTTGGTATTGGGGCAAAGGCTTTCTCAGGGTTTAAGTGGGAGATCTCAGGCCTGCGTTTGGTTATTGGGGGAGAATGGGTACCGTGATCACTTTGGCTCAAGGTACTTCAGTTTATTGGGTATTTGGGCAAAGGACGGAGGGATTCCTAAATCCTGGCCCAGAACAACAATGCTTCCCTTCAAACGATTTCCTGTATCATCTGTATCAGTCACGGTCCCATAGGAAACAGATGACTTTCGTGGGAGCTCTGAACTAGACCCTTCTCTGTCAGATGGCATGCTCAAACCGAGGATTATCAGGAGATTTTAAATAAAAGGGTGGCTTATAACAGTGTGGGCAGGGTTCAGTCAACCCAGCGAGGGGTGATTCAGTATCCTGGAGCTAGCAATGGCAGGGGCTAGAACCTGGAGGCCAGAAGGCCAGGAGGAGGGCACGGTTGCTTCATGCCAAAGAGAGCTGTCGTTCTAGGAAATAGCCTCCTGTCCACAGGCTCCCACCTGTGGAAGACAAAAGCAGTCAACAAACCAGAATCTGGCCAGGGGAGATGCAGAGTAATCAATCTCTCTCTCCTCCCACATACCCACTGGCCTCTTCCTTCCAGTGACCAAACCCAGAAGCCAGAGAAGAGAGAGGGCATGTTGATGAAGTCTGTCAGGACCACCCATCAGGATATACTTCCTGAGGCACAAAGCAGGGAGAAGGGTGGAAGGTGAATTTGTAGGGGTAAATGGAAAGGACCCAGCTCGACATCTTAATGTCACCTGTGTTCCACCAAATTTCTACCTCCTGACAGATACGTATTCCCCCAAATGGCTTCCATGTTGTGTTTTGTGCCTCCTTCTCCCTCTCCATGGTTTTGACTTCTTACTCTCATTTTATTTGTCTGGCAATGATTTTTTAAAATATTATTTCTATTTTGCCATTTTATTAAACACGGAAAGAAGCTGTTACATCTTCCAGAAATATCAGCTTTCAGCTTCTAATTGAATGGTTCTCACCTGGGAATGATTTGGCCCTTCCCCGGGAAACATTTGGCAGTCCGGGAACATTTTCGGTTGTCACATCTCAGGGTGGGGTGCTCCTGGCACTTAGTAGACAGAGCCAGGATTGCTGCTAAACATCCTACAGTGCTCAGTACAGCCCCCCATTAACAAAGAATTATCTGGAGCAAAGGGTCAGAAGTGCCGGGGTTGAGAAATTCTGCTCTAAGTGGAGAAAGGAAGGTTTGGGCTCTGTTAGTGGGAATCAGAGAGCAGGTAAAAAGGAGAGAAGAAATTTTGTCTCTTTGTTTGTTTGGGTTTGTATGTTTTGATTGGGTGGGAGGAGTCTATCACAGAGGAAGTTTCCACCCTGTCTTTGGGGAGGATGGTCCCCTGTTGGGGTCCAGCTGGGCTCTTGGGCTCACTCTCTGGCCACCTTGGGAATCAGCAGGACTGTAGGATCTAGCATCTGAGAAACAGGATTGAGAGCTCCTGGTGGGGGGGTGGAACATCTCACACCATGTAGATGATTCTCTGCATTTCCCTGCTCCGAGCGGCTGCTGGAAGTGGTACAGCAAACTCTAAAAGGCTATTTCAAGATGGTTCAGCCAGACCCAGAGGTCTGGTAGAGTTCTTGCCTTTCCCAGGCTTCGGGGTTCTCTTCTTTTCAGCTCAAAGCTCTTAGAATATTAATAAGTAGGGACTTAACAAAGTCCTGAAATAGTTCTTGGGATACAAAAGAAATGTCCCAGCTCAAAAAGTAAACGAGTGTAGTCAGCAGTCCTTTGTCAACTTGCTGTTTAAACCTGGAATTTGCTTCTTTTTTCTTTTCCTTCCTACATCCCATTTTCAGGTCATTTCCCTGCCTGTTTGTGCATATGTTGGAGAAGAGGGGCAGGCAGAGAAAACTCTGTATCAGCTTCCTTGGGCAAGCTGTTAACAGACTCAATGAAAAGATGAGAAAGTAATGATGATAGTTGCCTTTAAGAATCAGTCTTAACTATTAACTGTGCCGACCTTCCCTCCATCACCAAGTCTTGACTTGGCTGTAATCCAGCTTGAATGACTTTAATATTTATTAAATTTTATTTGTTTTTTAAACAAACAGTCCAATTACGTTTTTTAAAACAAAATGGCAAAGGATTTAGATAAACAGGGGACAGTCTTTCCCCTGCCCTCCTCCTGCCATTCCCAAAAGGCAATATCCATCTGGAGATATTTTATGGCTATACAAACAAATAGGTATATACATGTTTGTTTGTTTTTTAAAATCTTTTTCAGCCCATACAAATAGTAGTATATTTACTTTTTTTCTCAGCAATGTACCTTGGGAATCCTTTCGTGTCAATAAAGAACTTTTTTTTTAATGGTCCCATGGTATTGTGGATAAACCTTAATATATTTGGCCAAAAGTGACTTGTTTTTAAAAGGGCTTCTGAATCTATTTCCAACCAGAAAGAACGATCAACTAAAAAACAAAAACAAAACAAAACAACACTTGTTTGAAAGTTGAAGCACGAAAGCCCACCTCTATCATTTTGAAAAGCTTTCATTCTCTCATCTTAGTGAGATTTTCAGATTTTGTTGTTGTTGTTGTTGTTCTACATTTGCCCCTTAACTTAAAACCTCTGTCAAATAGCTGTTCAGAACCGAAAAGTGTCCCAGAGGTTTGGCGATTGCCTGTGATTTAAACTGTGTCTGTTTTATTGAATTACTGAATGTTTATTATCTTTCTTACGGAAAGCCGGCCTGAGCCAGTGCGGCGCTATTCACGCCAGAAAAGCCTGTCCTGGCTTTTGGGACAAGACAGTGCGCCTCTCTGTTCCCCCGTTTTAAAAAAATCTGGGTAGTATCCTGGAGCCTTAGCAGCGTTGAAGCTTTGTGCAGGGCAGGACTACCTCAGACTCACAAGTAAGAGCCTGTTTATCTCTACTGTATTTCTGTGGTCACAGCCAGGACCCGTGTATTTTAAGGCACGACGGAGTTTGCTGCATTTGGAAGCCAAAGAGAGGGCAGGCAGAAGAGCCGTGGGGCTGTACAGCGTTCTGGGGCTCCGGGGCTTTGAAATCCTTTCCAGTGTTGTCACTTGAATGTCGAACACATTATTCTCAGTGGACACTAAAGAGAAGTACAGGTACCGTGGGCTCCAGGGGGATTCATTATTCAAGGCACAAAATTTCCGACTCCGGCCTGCAACACATTATAATTCAAATGAGCCCAGCACAATAGAAGAAAAATATGCAAGCAGATTTCTCTCTGTCGTGTTTTTTTCCCCTTCTCTCTGAAGCCCTGTAATTACAGCAGGCAGGTGGAGCATCTGGGGTGTGGGGGAGTCCACTGTATTTTTACCTTCCCAGGAACGCGACTTGCCTACCGCATCAATATATTTTATTTTTAATTAAGCGCTTATTGCAAAATCTAAGTCCCTGCGCGGAAGCCCGATTGGCAACTTTTTTTTCCCCTGCCGTTCCCTGAGATGCTGCTATTGCTGTCTCAAATTTCCTTTCTTAAAATGTGCTGTTTTAGTAAATTACTCCTGTCCTTCCGTGAGCTCGGCAGCGCTGCGGAGGCTGGATTGAGGGGGCCTTCGCCTCCTCTTCCCTCGTCCGCGGTCCGTGGGTCACTTTCTCCGCGTGCCCACCAGCGCCACGTGCCGGGAGCGCGCGGTCCAGGCCCGGCAGCCCCTTCCCCTTCCCCTCTGTCCTGGCCCGGGTCCAGGCCCGTCCTGCAGGGGTGGGGGCGGCGCTGTGCTCCTGAGAGACCTCCGGTCCTGCAGGGGTGCGCAGAGGCCACGGGACTAAGCGACCACAGCCCCGCAACGCCGGGCTTGGGGCGGGGACGGGTGCAGGAGGAGGGGGAGGCGGGATCCGACACCCTTAGGTTGGTCAACTGGGGGTGGGTGCTAGGAAGCCCTCTTGGTGTCGGCGCGCCGGGCCCAGGAGGGAGAGCGGGAGAACCGGGCAGGCGCCCGGGCTGGCCGCGCGAGGCTCCTCGCCTCTCCCTCCCGACGCCGGCCACCGAGGAGGCCGAGCGGGGGCGGCCCCAGGCCCTCAGCGGGGCGTGGCTTTTCTGATCCTGGAAGTCGGCGGCCCGAGGCGGGGCGGGAACTCGCGTCCCGGGGCGACCTTGCCCAGAGACCCGTGACCGACGTCCTGGCGGGAAGGGAGCTCCCGGGGTTCGGGACCGAAACCTGAAGCGGGCCTGCGCCCCCCCGCGCCTCCAGGGGCGGGCGGGCCTCTGCGGGATGCCTGCGAGCGGGCTGCCGGGGCGGGGTGCACCTCCCCGGTTTCTGGCTCCATGAACCCAGGTCGCCCTCTCCGGATCCAGTGACTGGCGGCAAGTGGGTTTCTAGCAAGCGGCGGGGCCCTGCGCAGGCCCGCCGGCCTCGGTGCCGGGGTGGCTCCCGGCCACCGCGCGGGCACCAGGCACCGTGGCGGTTAGCTGGCATTTCTGCCTCCTAGGGGCAATTTGAGGCGTGGCCAGGGTTGGCCCGGGACAGGGGAGGGAGACGGAGAGGAAGCTGCCAAAAGACTGGTGGGGCTGTCGGCACTTGCAGAGAGAGGCGGCCCCCTTCGGTCACCAGTGAATCTTAACCAAGGGCAGGAGAATCTTAATCAAAGGATGTTTTTAGGCAGGTCCAAGGGAGAGAAACCTATCTCAGGAAAATACCCACATGCGGTCGAAAAAGGGGCCGAGCCCGGCAGGAGCGCCTGGTCCTTGCTGCCCCGTGGAGCTTCCTCAGGCGCAGGCTGTATCCGTCCCCGCCTTGTTTCTTCGGTACCCTCTGCGGGGCTGGGACCCACGCCGGCGGCTCAGGTCTCTGTAAAGAAGGGTGCGGAGAGGCGGGGGTGGCTGCTGATTTGGCCGCAGGGAAGGACAGGCCTCCAGCGGGCTGGCAAGGTGCCGGGAGGGCAAGACGTTCCCTGGGCAGGTCCCAGTTCCCTCTCAGGAGTGTGGGTCGCTTCTCTCACTCAATCCACCCCTTTCAGTGTTGGCCACCAGGGACTAGGACTGGGGCTCCTTGAGTCCCCTTTTACAACTCCTATTGTATTTTTCATTCTCATCACAAAAGCAGTACATGTTAATTGAACTAACGAAAAAACACAAACATTCAAAAGGAAGAAAATAGAAACCCAAAACACTCTCATTACCTAGAGACAAACCTTTCTTGTATATCCTGAGTGCCAACACAGGTGACTTCCTTTTTTTCTGAACAAAATATTGTGAACATCTTTCCACAGAAGCATCCTCACAATGAATATGGTTCAATAAATAGACTCTGTCCTTAAAGACCCCCAGTGCCTCCATTGCAGGGATGTGGGGTGAGATTTCCAACCATTCCTTTCCTGGGCTTTTAGAGTGTTGCCACGTGTCTTATTTCTGTCCACACCATACCGGGGTCATTCTCCTGCTGGGTCACTGTGCATGTCCTTAATTATTTCCTTAAGATCAATTCCTCAAAACAGCTGGGTTAACTGTTCTGTGTTTTAGAAAAGTTTTACTACATTTTGTCAAATTGACCTTTAGAAAGGTTATGTCAATTCATACTCCCACCTGCAGAGAATGTAAAATCTGTTGCCACAATTCATCATCATCAATCGTGAGTATTTGTGGTCTTCTTTTTATTCTTTTATGTTTGCCCATTTTTTTAATTGGAGTGTTCGTCTTTTTCTTGCTGGTTTGTAGGAGTTTTTTAAAAAATATCTATATTCTCTCTATTAAGTCTTACATGTTTTCTACTTTTCCAATTTGTCAATTGCTTTTCACATTTAAAATTACATTTAAAATTTTTGTGCAGTTGTTCTTAATATTTTAATTTACGGCTTCTGCCTTTGGTGTCACTCTCTAAAGTCCTTCCTTACCTCAGGATTTTCTAAGTCTCCCACCTACAAATATTTCTAGTACTTTCATTGTTTCATTTAAATGTTTCATTCATATGGAATTTATTTGGGTATATAGTATAAAGTAGGAATCTGCGTTTACTCCTCTTCACTCCCTCTTCACTTGTTGTTAGTTCCAAATCCTTTTGACTCTGGCACATACTCCAGCTAATTCCGAAACAAGTTGAGCCAGAAGGGAAGATCTGGTGGCAGAGATCTTGCTCTGGGAAGCACAGAGGCTGGAGGTGAGGGATTGGGAAACGTCCAAAGGAAGAGCCCATTTGGTAGACATATCCTAGTGGAATCACATAGATCTGGATGAAATCCAGTTTCTGCCACGTTCACCATGTGGAAACCGGAGCAAGTTGTTTAACTTATTGAAACTTCAGTTTTGTATCTGTAAAATGGGTATACAAATAGCAAGCATCTACCTCTGCAGATGGATGTGCGGGTCACATGGTAATGCACATAGCAAGCCATCAGTGTTATTAGTAGTAGGAGGTGAAGAGAAGATGAGAAAGGTGTATGTAACTGTTAAAAAGAAACATCAGCTATCAATAATTAAAGAAATAACGGTGGTGAGTCCATGTGCTATAGTTAGAGTTCAAGAGTGTTTATCCAGATCAATCAGGAGGCTTTCCCCTGGGAGAAAAGGGTTTTATTCTTCCACCTGGGGTCTACTGGACTCTGGACTTAAACTGAGCTCAGACATTTCGAAGGAATCCAGTAGCCTTTCTGTTCTCAAACCTGTTCCAAGGCTTTCTGATGGACCTGCCTGGGTAGAAGAGAATCAGCGGAATGAGCTGGCATTTGGAGAGCTCACAGGATAGAGAGCACGGGGGGCTCGGGGCTCTAAGTGGGCAGCCATCTCCCTCCTGGCTCTCCCCCAGCTGAGGATTGCTGCAAAGAGAAATAGTCACTGGACGGGAGCCAGGGGCACCAGTCAGCTTAACCAAAGGAATCAATGAACACTGTGTTTTCCCTCTGCAAATGAGGGAAATGGCATGGTGAGAAGACATATGCCTTGTCCAGAATCACAAGTCCCAGGGGCAGAGAAAGCTAAGAGAAATGCTGCCTCAGAAGAAGCCATTTCCCATCCCGAGGATGCCAGAGCCTGGCCTTGAGTAACAAAGGGGATGGGAATGCTGCTTTTGAGCTCCCGGGCGGTGGAGACCCAACATATTTGTATGAGGCATGGACAATGAGTAGCCATTCAAAAGGCTGAAGCTGCCTCTTCTTAGTAAAAGGCAACTATTTTAGGAATCCCTTGTTACTAGGCAAATGGCTGATCGCTTTTTAGGGGAGTGAGACCCAGCTTCACACTGTCTTTAGGGTAAGCTTTGATTCTGAATTTTGCTTTGGTGGAATAGTGGTTCTCAATTCTGGCTGCACATTGGAATTAGGTAGGGAGCTCTTAAAAATACAGATGCCCAGGCCCCCCTTCCAGAAGGCTGGGTTAAATTGGCTACGGCAGGACTGAAATGTCAGTGTTGTTAAAGACTTCCTTACTGATCCTAATATGTAGTTTAGGATTGAGAGGAAGCCCCTTTTTGTGCTGCTGCACTCTCTTCCGAGCTGGTGGGAACAAGGTTATAAGACAAAACTACTCTAGCAAAATGTTTCTTGAACTCTAAGGAATTATCTGGACATCTTGTTAAAATGCAGGTTGTGATTTCGGATGTCGGAGGTGGGACCTAAGATTCTGCATCTCTAACAAACTCCTGGATGCCGCTAATGCCGCTGGTCTCAAGACCACGTTTGTGTACCGAGGGTCTAGAAGTGGTCCTCCGATGTCAAGGAGCGTTAAAATGACCTGATAAGCCTCTTGAAAAAGCAGATTCCTGGGCTGATTCACAGCATCAGGGAGGGGGTCAGGAATCTGCATTTTTAACAAGTCCTCAGGTGAATTGATGCACTTAACAGTTCAAAGACCACACTTGGAGAATGTAGCCAGCCTGCCTAGGATTTCCTCAGGCATTCATCTTTTTAGCGCATCCTGAGTCCACACTTGGCTGGAAGATCTCGAGTCGGTTGGCTGGGAATTGAAACTGAGCAGAGAGCCCACTGGGCCCGAACTGCAGCTCTCTGCTTCTGGGATGCCTTAATGTTGAGGCCAAATCCCATTATCACAAGAGAGTGACAAGTGCTTGTGCCTTCTTGGAATAAAGGAGCCATCTGTTTAGGTTTGGGTTTTGATTGTAAAGTTATTTGACCTGTCCCCTCCTTGGAACTGTGACTAATGTCTCAAGATCAGAGCATAGATTCTGGGAGAATGAAAGGCAGAAGGCTTTCAAGATGCCTTCCACCCAAGGAAAACCTCAAGCAGGGGAGCAAAAGACAGTATAAAAAAAAAATCAATGCTCCATGTAATGTTGAAGACATCAAATAAGAAGTCTCCACCAAATGAATGTGCTTTTTTTCCCCGCTTAACTGAGACGGCCTGTGAGGTAGGATAAACCCAGGACCTGGAATGAGGGGCTGAAAGAAAATTGACACATCTCACCTCTTCTCTCATTTGGCTACTGTTAGGCCCATCCTTCTCCAAGTACGTGTTATTCAGCTTGCAGATGATTCTGGACCTTTGTTTTTCTTCTGGTTCTTCTCTCTTATTTCTCCTTGTTTGAGCCATTAGCAGTTCCACCAGGGATGGAATGGAAATGGAATGGAACCCCCTATGAGATAGAATAACATCTGTGAGTAGGTGTGCTTAGAGGTTTGATGGGGAGGAAGAAAGAATTAATTATGATCGCAGGTCCTATGGAATTCACCTCGATGTGGCTGTCTAGGTCCACTTTTATATGGCAACTTCAAGCCTTATAACAAGAACAGAACGCCTTCTGCAGAGTTCGACAACTACCAGCAATAATTTGCCAGAAAAGTTATTACTTGAAAAATGCTTACTTCTTTTACTTATTCAAATATACTTATTACTTTATACGCTTCTTTTTTTTTTTAAAAGATTTTATTCATTTATTTGAAAGAGAGAGAGAATGAGAAAGAGAGCACATGAGAGGGGGGAGGGTCTGAGGGAGAAGCAGACTCCCTGCCGAGCAGGGAGCCCGATGCGGGACTTGATGCGGGACTCGATCCCGGGACTCCAGGATCATGACCTGAGCCGAAGGCAGTCGCTTAACCAACTGAGCCACCCAGGCGCCCCTATGCTTCTAATTCTCTTGGTTGTCTGGTAACAGTGTTGTGAGACGGGGGACATAAATTTACTACCACATATGTGTGACTTTCCTGTTTAAGGAGGATTTTTTTTCATCTATTTCTTCTAGCTAGTTACAATATATTATATAACAAAGGATACCTCCTATTCCCGTTACTTGGTATAATAAATATCTTGGCGAAATTTCTTACAGAGTTTGATTACTCAGTCAAAACCTAAGTATCCTGTTGGGAGAGGAACAATCATTTTAGTGATACTGTTCTATGCTTTGGTTGAATTGAATAGTTACTAATCCAGCCAGAGAAGAAAGAGGCAGGTAATTGGAATTGAGCAAACACACTGAGCCCCTCACAAAAAGACTCACGAGAAGTGTAAAATTTCTCATCAAACCTCTATCCGTCTATTTTCTCCTTACTTACAATTGTCATTGCAGCTTTAGGAAATAACTCTAGGGGCCTGGTCTACATTAGGAGAAAACTGCTATTTCTCATTCAAGTGATCTGGAAATGAGTTTAAACAGACACAATCTGCCAATGGTCAATGTTAGGTCAGTAACTCTAATAGCCAATTTGAATTTTCTTTTAAGAAAATGCCATAGCCCCATCCACCACTTTACTGCTCTCTCACCATCTAACACCCTAAGATTTGCCTGGATTGTCTCAGGGTAGAAAACAGGGAGGTAGGTTGGCCAATTGTCATGGAACTTACATAAATTAAGAGCAACCCTTTTCTCTCATTCATCTATAACCCAAACTGCCGGGCTTCAATTCTCCAGCAGCGGTAAGAAGGGTTAAAGCAATGGGATTGACTGTCTTGGTTGTGAAGTGGTCAAGATCCCCTTGAAGGGATGCTTCATGAAAGTTCTCTGATGCTTGCTCAGTGCTGGTGTATAGCCCAATGCTTGGTTCTGGTTAGTCATGGATCTTGCCAGTCTGGGTTTAAACCATATCAGGCAACCACTGAGTTTTTAACTTATGGGTTTTTGGAGCTTTAAGAGTACAGAGATCGCTATAAATTTCCTGTCCACCTGCAGTTTCTCCCATTTTCCGTCCACACAGAATCATGCTTTTGTTCACTTGTCTTCCCTCTTCCACACCCTCAGGAGGGGCTGGAACAACCTTTCTCAAGGGATCCCCTTTTCAGTAATTGGTTCAGAAATGGGTATGTGTGGCTCACTGATGGCCAGTGCTATGTGAGGGGAAGACTTTTGGAGGATACTCTCTCCCTTTCCTCCAGATACTTTGTGTCTGACTGTGATGCCTAGAATCATGGCAGTCATCATACTATCAGCATAAGGATTAAACTGATACTCAGGATGGCAAGAATGGAGAGAAAGAGAGAAAGAACCCAGGTCATTGATGACATCATCCACACCACTGAATTAATCAACCATTGTAAGGGTTAGCTTTATGTGTCAACTTGACTAGACTGAGGGATGCCCACATAGCTGGTAAAACATGATTTCTGGGTGAGTCTATGAAGATATGTCCCGAAGAGATTAGCATTTGAATCTGTAGACTGAGTAAAGATCATTCTCACCAATGTGAGGGGGCACCATACAATCTGTTGAGCGCCTGAGTAGAACAAAAAGGTGGAGGAAGGGTAGATCTGCTCTTTCGCTTGAGCTGAGACATCCATCTTCTCCCTCCCTCACGCATCGGTGCTTCTCATTTTTTGGCCTTCAGACTTGGACTGGGATTTACACCACCAGTTCCCTTGGTTCTTAGGCCTTGGGGTTTGGAGTGAAATTACAGTACCAGCTTTTCTGAGCCTCCAGCTTGCAGACATCAGATCATGGGACTTCTTAGCCTCCATAACCATGAGTCAATCCCTCATAATAAATCTCATTCTCTCTATATATCCTGTTGGTTCTGTTTCTCTGGAGAATCTTGACTAATACAGCCTCTAAGCTGCCCTGCCATTCAACTTTCTGTTTTGCAGGATAATGCATTTCCTTCATGTTTAAACCGGTTTGAATCAGGATTTCTGTTGCCTGTGGCCCAAAGCATCTTAAATGATTAAGAGAATTTTAAGACCAAGTGTTCATTTCATAGAGGGTGTAACAGAATTTGCTCCGTGTCATGTGTCAAGTGACAACAGAACTCAGGACTAGAGGTTGGGTCTTTTGCATCCAAGTCATTTTTATTATATGCCACCTCTTGCATAAAAATTTGCTTCATTACAAATTAAAGGTGGCTTAAAAAGGTATCTCTGAACACACCGTCCTTGTATTTAACAAAATCGCCCCACCCAGGTTAAAGTCTGGAATTCTCTTCCAAATTTTCCTTATTTGGACATGCTGAATCAAACTGACCACTCACATGTACAAAGAGTATGCTTGTTGACTTTGAAGAACTGAAAACATTTTGTTCCTCATTGCTGGGGAGCACTGGCCTGGCAGACCTGATATGCTAGGTAGCTCTGGGCAAGAAAGACACATTAGACCTGTTTGCGTCCAAACTTGTCATCTGTAAGGTACGGGACAACACAGAATGTTATAAAGCCTTTGCCAAAACTTCAGTTGGGAGATTTAATGGAATCCATAGGCAGGGGAGGCGTGAGGGTAGCAGGGGGGTGGGGGGTGGGGGATCAAGGGTAGGGAGATGGGCTGCTGCTTCTGTTCCTAGTAGTATTTCTTATATCAGGCCATTCCTCATCTATAAGGTCTTCTGTTTGCCTCCCGCATTACCCCTACCCTGCCCATGCTGGAGGGCCCAGGTGAAGCTGCACCCCCTCCACCAAGTCGGCTCTAATCGCCGCTGTATGCACCACTAATTATTTCTCAGAACAACATTATTTCCTGAACTCCTTAGTCATTCACTAAGCTTATCATGTTATTTTGGAATATTTCTTTTGACATTTTGCTCATTTTGCCCCTAAATGTTATCTTTAGAGAGCAGATCAGCAAAGAAGAAAGGATATAGACGTTAAGGACACATTTGTAGACTTGGTTTGAATCCTGCCCTGGGGCCCCTGCTTTGCAGAACTCCAGGGGCCAGGAGGCAATATGGCAGCGCTGCCTGGCCCTATCACTTTGAAGGAAACTTCTCCCGCCAGCTCAAGTCATCTGTGGAATGCAACTGGGGCAGGTGTGAATAAGCACACTGTGTTAGTTTTCTATTGCTGCTGAAACAAATTACCACAAGCTTAGTACCTTAAAACACCAACCCTTTCTTACCTTACAGTTCCGGAAGTCAGAAGTCTAATGGGTCAGCAAGGCTGGTATCTTCAGGAGGCTCCAGGGGGAATCCACCTCCTTGTTTTCTCTAGCTTCTAGAGGCTGCCTGCATTCCTTGGCTCATGGCCCCACATCACTCCAGCCTCTGTTTCCTTTGTCATATCTCTGTTGCTCTGACTCTGACCTTCTTATCTACCTGACCTAAGGCCCTTTGATATTACCTGGGACGCACCCAGATAATCCAGGACAATCTCCCCATCTCAAGATTTTTTTAACTGAATCACTTCTGCCAGGTTCTCCCCCACCCCCTTTTTTTCCTTTGGAGCTAACATATTCACAGGGATTAGAACATGGACATCTTTGGGGGACATTATTCTGCCTCCCACTTATATGCTTTTTGGATACCAGTTTCAATATCTGTAAAATGGAGCTGCTACTCTCTGCCTTACAGGGTTATTGAGGCGATTAAATGAGATAATTTGTGTGTAAATCCCCAGCCTGGCACAGTGGAGGTGGTCAATTCTGGTCAGTTTCTTCTCTTCTGAGTGGGTTTTTGTGAGGTGGAGGCCAAGCATTGTGACTTCTACCTCTTTCTAACCCTTTAGTTTCTAGCCAGTCCTGGGTCTGGAGGAGGAAATCAGCAAGTATAGTAATTACCTTGATCGATGACAATGCCTTGCATCTAACTCATAAGGTCACTAAAATGGTTGATTGTTGTTTTGTTAGCAAGGGGTGGGGGCCATCTCATTAAATGCTGTCATTTATCAGATCCAAAATAGAAATTTGGATTCTTCTGCTACACTTTTACCTAATTACCCTGAACACTAGTGGAGGAGAGGAATTAGTTGACAATACCATTTAAGGAAAAAAAAATCTTGCTGTCATGGACTTTTCTCCTTGGTCTGGAAACTTCTTGGTTTCCTAGGGTGCAGCTGACTGCTTGCTCTGCAACTGAAAAATCTCTCAAAGGGCCCTGTCCAGTTAGGTCACACAAAGCCAGGCTTATTATTTAGAGAGCACACAATGCCCCCTCACATGGGGCACAGAGAGGAAAGAATTTTTAAGCCAATTCCAGTCCCTTGGAGCTGCAAACTGCCCTCGGGGCAAAGAAGCCTGCAGGATAATTGGGAGGAGTCTGGCAGGAGAAAACCCGTCCACGGGAAGTGAAAGCTGCATCTCTCTATATATTGAGGGATGCCATGCCACTTTTTAAGCATTCCCCTCTGGGACAAACCTGTATGTCAAGATAAACAATTAAATAATATGCAAGGGCCAAATCAGGAAAATTGCAGCCTCAGCCCGAGACAACAATGCAGGGAAACATCAGCCGTCTGCCACAGCGAAGGTGTGGAGACAGGTTCCGAAGATTCTGCAAGAGAACTGGGTCAGGGAGTGGAATAGGCTTCAGGCCCCCCGAAACTTGGTACGTTCATGCTTTCTCAAGATAATAAGGTGGAAAGTGACCTTACATCATCTCTCTGTCAAACCAGAGTGCAGCTGCCCCAGGATCCCTGACACAGTCGTGGATAATGTGTCTAGGGAATGGAGTGAGAAAGGAACCAGAGACCAGACCCCAAAACCATGAGAGGGAGGGTCGTGAGAGGAGGGCAGACCATTAGATGGAACACTTCTGCCCTTAGAGATGTATGGGGGCCGCAAGGAGAGGATTCTGCACGTTGTCATCCCTGGAGCGCCATCCTGGGTTTCCATGCCATCGTGCCTAAGCGCCAAGGGATGGTCAGGGGAACATATGTGGTCACAACACTCTGAACAACTAGCACATGGGGGTTGAACTTGTCTAAGGGACTTTTGGGGGATAAGGGGGAAGCATTATTTGTATAGTATGTGACCACAGTATAGAATTCACAGTCCTGTGTGAAGGCATGGACAGAACTGAATGATCTTAGTGTCTCGTCTTTTTGCTGGATAGGGCAGGCCAGCAGGGTCTGGGGACATGGGCTGGCCGAGGTGGCATTCTTAAGAGGCTGGAGCAAATCCCAGCAATAAC